TTGAGCTCTGGTAATTTCTTCAGTAAAATGTGTATTTGCTCCACATAGGCTAATGCAAGAATATGCTTTAACAATGGCAATCTGCAGCACAACACAACCTCATTTTTGCATGACAGTGTTTATGAATTTTGTGGGAATTACATCCCTGTCATCCAGATTTCAGAGATGAGTTTGGTTTTTGTAATTAATAAACAGTTTAAGAGTTACTGTATGAGTCAAGACCACATGCCACCAACAGCAAAAATTCAGTGTCCCACAGCGTATACTGGATGTGCAGGGTATATACAAGTTATCCAGCTTGATAAAGTTGCTGTAGTACCAGGGCTGGCTCCAGGCACCAGCCCACCAAGCTTGTGCTTGGGGCGGCACCTGGAGGGGGGCGGCGCGGCGCTCTGGCCGCGGGGGGGAGAGCGGAGCCCCGGCCGGGGCTCGCCGCCCTGCCCCCGGTGCTCTGGCCGCTGCGGGGAGGGCCGGGGCTCGCCACCCTCCTCCCAGGGCTCCGGCCGCCCTCCCGCCCGGCGCCCTCCCCCCGGGGCTCCGGCCGCCCCCCCCCCTGTGTGTGGGGGGGGGAGTGGCGGCTGGAGGCTTTTTTGCCTGGGGCGGCAAAAAAGCCAGAGCCGGCCCTGTGTAGTACACACTGCTTTTTGAGAGTGTTGTGAATGTAGTGCACTGAAGGTGATCCAAAGGACACATACTGTGCATAGATTAATAGACAGGAGCAGCTAATAGGTAGACCATACTTTACTGACACGTCTGTCATTTTATTCAGACTATCTATGCTTTAAGGGATATTTGATTTTTCTTTTTAAAAGACAAATCTTGCTCAATGTTATTTGCTATTGAACTTTCCTAAAGTTAAAAAGAGAGATTATAAATCACTAGAAAATACTTTTTAAAAGCCACTCAAGTTTCATAGCTACTTCAAGTAGCCATTGTCAGTAGCTGGCAAGATACCCAGTCCTACCAGAAAGATAAATAACAAGGGAAATGTAGCTCAGCTTCCATATATTTAAGTCAACAAGATAAAATAGGTTACACAGCACATACCTATCCTGAGTTTATGTATAAATCTAGATGATGGAAGCTTCATGCTTCAGGTTAAAGTAGTTTTATGAACTTTCTTATTGCACATGTGTACACACAGATTAAAGAGGGAGGTTCTGTGTTTATAGCTAATATACAGATAATGGCAAATGACAGGATGTAGAAAAATGTACAGGTTGAAAGAGTGACTAAGTTTGCATGGGAGTTCATGAAAGTGAAATGCCATCTATTCAGAATAAACAAAAGGTACAATCACTTGCAGAATTCCATATGAGAGGTCCCATGAGATTTAAAAGGTTAAGATATCTAATAACTTAGCTTTCTGCATATTTTCAAACCTTCTCTGAGGAGGAACTCTTTTAAACTTACTTATCCTTATGGATATTGTGTTTTTTAACATGCTGTAGACTCCCCAGAATAGCTTCCTCTTTTCTTAACTTCCTGAGCCCCATCAGATCTCTCCAAGTGATTATGATGATTTAGTACTCTGGAGTACCAGATACTTTATGTAACTTTGATATGTGGTGCCAGGGCTTTATTAGTTTCTGTACAAAAGTATATTCTGTCCTAGATGGCTACTGTTCTCAGTCCCTGTCTTTTAGGGCAGTGGTTCTCAACCAGGGGTATGCATACACCTGGGGGTACGTAGAGGTCTTTCATGGGGTATATCAACTCATCTAGATATTTGCCTAGTTTTACAGCAGGCTACATAAAAACCACTAGCAAAGTCAGGACAAACTAAAATTTCATACAGACTATGACTTGTTTATACTGTTCTATATAGTATACACTGAAAAATACAATCTTTATATTTCAATTGATTTATTTTATAATATGGTAAAAATCAGAAAGTAAGCAATTTTTCAGTAATAGTGTGCGGTGACACTTTTTATTTTAATGTCTGATTTTGTAAGCAAGTAGTTTTGTGAGATGAAACTTGGGGTAGAGAAGACAAATCAGACTTCTGCAAGGGGTACAGTAGTCTGGAAAGGTTGAGAATAATTGTTTTAGGGCATCTCATTTGCAGTTATTATATAATGCTCTGCTTTCTGATTCATTGATTAAGAAAAAACATGAAAAGGAGACATATTGTGTGATTTTTTTTTTATTTTATTTATTTATTTATTTATTTTTTACCACCACCAAAAAATCTTTCTTAATACATTCAGATTTGTCTTTGGCAATCTCCTGGATTATATGGGATGTGCAGCTTGTCCCATTACCTATAAACAATCCATATTTCTGGTATAGGGCACCTAACTATATCCATTTTTAAAAAGTTCTCATAAGCCTTGTCTTTCTCTAGCTGGCTTTTAGTTGTCTCTGTTTGTCTGTCTGGTTGACAGAAGTTACTAGCTCTTTATCTTTGAGCAGCAATGCTCTAATGCAGGGGTTCTCAAACTGGGGGTTAGGACCCCTCAGGGGGTCACGAGGTTATTACATGGGGGGGTTGTGAGCTGTCAGCCTCCACCCCAAACCCTGCGCTGCCTCCAGCATTTATAATGGTGTTAAATATATTAAGTGGTTTTTTTAATGTATAAGGGGGGGTCACACTCAGAGGCTTGCTATGTGAAAGGGGTCACTAGTACAAAAGTTTGAGAACCACTGCTCTAATGTTTCTGTTCACCGAATTGCATTTCAACACATAGCTACTTGTAAATGGCAAAACGCAGACAGGGCTTGATCCAGCTCTGATATGCATAGATATAGGTTCAATCCTACCATGAAATTAAATTTAGAACTATACTGTGCTCCTCTGAAGCAGATTTTCTAGAATGGGTCCAAGTCCCGCCTCCCCATACCTGCTTGTAAGTGTGTGTGTGTGTGTGTGTGTGTATATATATATATATATATATATATATATATATATATATAAAATGGATTGGAAACAGTAAGTGTTTAACAATGTGGGTGTGTGTGGTGGGAGGGGGATGAGGGCTCTGGCTGGGGGTGCAGGCTCTGGGGTGGGGGTGGGGATGAGGAGTTTGGGGTATGGGAGGGGACTTGTGTAGAGCAGAGGGTTGGGGTTGAGGGGATGAGGGCTGGGGCTGAGGGGATTGGGGTGTGGGAGGGGCTCAGAGCTAGGGCAGAGAGTTGGGGTGTTGGGGTGAGGGCTGTGGGGTTGGGCATGAGGGGTTCACAGTGCAGGAGGTGGCTCAGGGTGGGGCAGAAGGTTGGGGTGAGGGGGGTGAGGGCTCTGGCTGGGGGTGTGGGCTCTGGGGTGGGGTTGGGGATGAGGAGTTTGGGGTGTAGGCAGGCTGCCCCAGGGCTGGGGCCAGAGAGGAGGACTCCATAGTTCCCCCCAGCCCTGTCCCTGAGGGGAGCTCTGAGGGAGGGGGCCCCCTCTTCCCCCCCCCCAGCACCACACTCACCCGGCACTGTCACTACACGTACTCCTAGAGGCTGGACCCCTCTCAGGTCCAGGAAGCCCCCTCACCTCCCCTGTGGTGGGTGCCGGGGGGGAGGGGACTGCCATCACATGTGGCCTCCTCCCCCGCTACAGCCTGCTGCCCCTCACCGTAGCCTCATGGGGGATGGGGCTGCCCTTTGCCCAGGGTGGGGCAGGAGTGGTGGCTGCGGGCAAGGGGGATCATACGGTCGGACACTCTCACCCAAGCCCCAGCAGCTGCTCAGGTGAGGTCTAGACTCCATCTCCCAGAAGCCCCACGGTGTCGCCTCCCGGTGGGTGCCGGGGGAGGGGAGGGCTGCCAGTCATGTGTGCGCCTCTTTCCCTCCTCAGGTGCAGCAGTTGCCTCAGCCTGCTGCCGGCGCCACTCTTGTGTTGTAGGCAGGGACACTCCGGGGTCAGGGGGAGGCGCCTGGGGGCGGCAGGCAGGGCCGGGGCAGAGACCTGGCTCTGAACATTGGTGGAGCTGGGCACCCAGGCCTTGAATATTCCTGGAGCCTGGGCACCGCGGGCCCATACAACTCGCCACCCCTGTCTCATTCATATTTCAAAATCCCACTGCTGCTACTGGACTCCCAGTATGTTGACTGCAACTTTATCAGACAAAGACTCCCCAGTGTCCCAACAGTTCAGAACTTATGCACATGATATAATGGGCTAACAGAACTCATGTTTGTGTTTGCAAAACTAAAAGGCACAAATATAAAATGCTCTATAACTAGGAGAGGAAGGTCCAGTGGTTAAGGCACTGCCTAAGATCTGGGTGACCTGGGCTCAATTCCCTGCTCTGCCACAGGCTTCTGGTGTGACTGTGGGCAAGTCACTTAGCCTTTCTGTGCCTCGATTTCCCCCATCTGTAATGTGGTGTTGATATCACTGCCCTACATCGCAGGGGTGTTGTGAGGATAAATACTTTAAAAATTGTGAGGCACTCCAGTAACTATGGTAATCGGGCCATAGAAATATCTAAGATACCTAGACAGACTATGTGATGAATTCAGAGAGGATGTATTGGCTCTTGCGTTTTGGCTGGACCACAGAGGAGTCTTATCTTCTGCAGTGTGCACTTGAATGCTTAGAAACGGTATTGGTACTAACATTTGGAAACCCTTTAAAAAATCTTTGTCATATCCTAAAAAAAATAAACGACCTGAGCCTGTGTGAGGCAGTCGTGAAATAATGGCATGGTGCATGCTGGCGCACCAGAGGGGAACTGAAGCCACCAAAGTGCCGTAACAGAGGCATGAAATAAAAAGACAAGTACCTTTTTTAACACTGGTTATTTATACTTTGTTGTTCAGATCATGATCCGGCAGTCCATTCCTTAAGTCCCATTGACTTCAGTGGGACTTAAATGTGTGCTTATATTTAAGCACATACTCAAGTGCTTTGCTAAATAGGTGTAGAGCTTAAGTTCTGATCTGAATTGCTGCAAAGTCCAAAGGAGTTCAGCTACAGATGTTTGGTTGGGACCTATCTCTAGTTTCATTGGCATCCTGGAAAGTATTGAATAAGTATTGACAAATATTTTTTTTCTCTATTTCTGTAGGATTTGTGTGTAATCTGCATTACGTTCTAACACACTGTCCACCCCAAAAGGCTTCATAATCAAGGATCATGGTAGACCGTTTAATAGTATCTTTGAGGTAAGTTGTACAATAAAATTATTTTTAATGATTTAATATGCTCTTGTCACAGTGCAATAAGTATTGATTGACTGTATATCTGTAGACTTTACAAGCAAGTGTTATTTTAACTATTTGGACCATTAGTAGTTTAATGCAAAGTCCAGTCCAAATGATTGAATGGTTAAGTGCATAGATCACTTAGAACAATCAGGCAAGGGCAATCTTTGAGGGGGGGAGGGGAGAATTGGAAAGTTCCCAATGTCTTGTTCCTGTTCCAGGAGGGCTTCTTTTCACCTTGTGTCGGTGTCTTAGAAGGATTTCTTGTAATTTGCAGATTTTTTTTTATACCATTTTTGGTGAGATCTAATGACTCCCAATTATAGTAAATGCCTTTTAAATAATTTTTATTCTTAAACTTTGAATGAATTGTAATGTATGCATTAAAGTTGTATGTTCTTGGAATGATTCACTCACATGTTCATGACTGCTAGGGCATTGTGTGTTTCCTTTCATTTGTGTGAAAATGGACTGGAAGTGACTCCTCAGGTCCAACCCTCTCTCTTCTGAATTTCAAATGCCAGGCTTTGGACCGAAATCCCCAGATCCAGACCTGCTTCTGTCTTGAGCTTTCAGCTCGGATTTCACACTCCAATGGATCTTCTGTATATTGCAGCCTATAACAGTGCTACCTTTTCTTTGGAGACTTCTCCCAGCCTCCCCCCACGCAGACAGACCAAGAGGCCCCCATGCTCAGGGAAGTCACTCACCATGGCTGCCAGAGGCACAGGGTATGATACAGAGTGGCCCCACAGCTTATACCATGAGGAGACAACCGTCCCCCCCACCATAATCAATAATAGGGGAGAAACTCACTGAGGGGCATCTTTCTGCCCCTTGGGTTTTCTGTGGGGGAGGGGGAGCTTTTGACACATCTCCCCAGATAAGAGTATTAGTGTCTTCAACAGGAAACCTCCACCCCCAGGCATTGATTTAAACAAAAGATGGCATTGCCACTATGGGGGGGAGTATGACTGAATACTTTGCTGTATTCTCCACCTGGTGTGAGATGGATATTTTGGTTTGACAGTTTGATAGATCCCTACATACTCCACTTCAAATGTTGTGCCTAATTTTGATGTGTGCTTGGTATTTTTTTTGGCTTTCCCACCTATTTAGAATGTCTGTAACAAATCTTCAGAGCAGGATAAACCTATTTTTGTAGTTTAGAGAACCTAGAACTAGTCAAGCGTGATAAATAAAATTACCAACTCCAGAGAAGCGGCCAAAGTCAACTAAGTCAAAGTGAAATAACATGAAATTAAAAAAAAAAAAAATCACAACCCCTCAATCAACCCAGAGGCTTTCCTCAGGAAGGCTTAAGTATTCCTGCCAGATTTCCTATGTGCTTGAAACAGTAGGTTGATAACAAATATTTTTGGCAGACCCAAGCACATACACAGAGACAAACTATAAACTACCCTCATTGTCCCTGTGTGCGCGTGCACACACATGCTGAATTGTAATCCCCCTTTTTAGAGACTGGTCAGGAAAAGGTTGGCACAGAATAATCACACACATGCTAAGGAGTTCAGTTTTGAAGTGGGAACTTTTAATCTGGTAAGTAATTTGCTTTGAAGATTATAGTCCTTGCTCACTTTAGAACTGCCACCCTCATGCAGGATTTTATTAAAATGTATTCATAGAAATGTGCTGCCCATCGACAGAGCCTGGCCTTTTGCTGTTCATGAAAGTTTTTCCCTATGCAAATGCTGAACTTCCTATTGCATCCTCTGAGGGAACAGGGAGAGTAGAAGCCAGACAGAGGGTGAAGACCTCTGAAAAAGTAAAGCGGGTATTCAACTGGAGCAAATCAGATGTTCCAAAACTATTATGGGGATCATATAATGTGAGGCTGCCTGGGGGTGTCTGTGATTTGTATTCTAGCTAGGAGTTTGTCATATTTCCATTAAAACTTCATTGAAATGGGGCACTATGAAGGAGATCACCTGTCCATGGGGGAAAAGCATATGTGGCTCCTGGATTACAGGACACACTTGGGAAGGCAGTGTGTTCTGTAGTTAGGGCAGTGGACTGGGAGTAGGAAGATCTGAGTTCTATTTCCAGTTTTGCCTTTTATCTGCTATATGACCTTGGGCAAATTATTTCCCCTCTTTATGCCTCTGTTTTCTCCCTCCCTTTCTCTGGAAGTGCCCCCTCTTCAGGATGGGGACTGTCTCTTACTGTGTATGCAGAGGCTCTGGAACGTCTGGGTGCTAATAACAATAAAAGATGCAGCATGTTTTTAAAAGGGCTTTAAAATGTTCTGATTTAAAAACAAAGAAAACAAGACTGGCACTTTAGTTTTTATCCTTTTCATGGTTATTGCTTTGTGCAAGAGGACTAGAACATGATAATGAGGTGGTGATAGGCACTGTATAATACTTATTATCCAATGGCCAGTTCCCCCACCCCCAGTATGTTAGTGAAGGCAAACAAATATCTTTCTAATATAGAGAACGTTTTTTCTTGAGTTTTCTATGTTTGTGGTAACGAAATGGCAAGTGCCAAAAAGTATCTCTGTTTGTTAGACCCCTGTGACAGTGTGTATCAGGCCTTCTCTGCCCCTGCTGGAGCTGTCGCTGCCCTGACGCACCCTCTCGAAGGAGACATATGACCTGGGAAAGAGAGGTAGTGAGTTTAGACCTCCACACGCTGCCTAGAGAAGTGACTCAAACTTGGTACTGGGGGAACCAACAAGATTTGCCCCTCTGTCAGTTAGAAGAGCCAGGAGGAGGCAGTAGGCAATCAGGATCTACCAGACAAGATAAGATGGCTTGCCTGCTTCTCCTAAGGAGGAGTGCTGGGTAGGGTTACCACCTTTTGAAATGCAAAAAACCCAGCACGCTCCCCACAAGGCAAGCCCACCACAACCCCAACCAAAAGTAACTCCACACATCCACATCAACAGCCACTTTATAGTATCTAGAGAGATAACATCATTTTCTTACCTTGGTTGTGTTTCTCCAAGCTGCTTTGTTTGTTTCGGTCTTCACTGAGATCCTTTCCCCCCCAAACTTCATTGATTCTATATTTTTAACTGTATTCTTGAATGTGAACTTTCTGGAACTTTATACATAAAGAAAATCCATTTAGTCTTTTTCTTGAATTTATATTTGCTATTTGAATTTGCCATTTGTAGCCATTTCTTATTTTTAACAGCAACATCATAGCATTGTTAGCTGGACACAGAAACTTCTAACATTAGATATCCCAGTGTATTGTGATAATAATGAAAATCTTTAGAACCAGTTCAAAAAACGCTGGCAGATTAAATTCTGTTTCTGGCAATACATAAAAACAAACAAACAAACAGGCCAGGCTGGTCAAATACCAGCCAGGTGGTAACCCTAGTGCTGGGTGAAGATGGGTCAGGAGAGGATTTCCCGGGATCTAACCCAAAATACTCAGGCCTGGATCAGGACCTAACAACTCAACAGCACTTTTGGTTTAAAGCTTGTGACACTGTTCATTTTTCTTGTGGAGTTTAAATGCCTAACTGGCATTTTTTAGTAGAATTTCAGTTAACTGTTTCAAGACTACCAAGGGGTTGCTGTACGAGACCCTTGCTCCTGATGAGATTTGTCAGCCCCCCTCTGAAAGTGTCTGAAACAATGTAGAATATTTAAAGGGTTGTGGAGAAGGGTGCTATGAATGGGAAGTGCAGCTGGATTCTGTCTGATCTGTTAGGGCTTGTCTTCATGGTGGGGTAATATGCCCTATGGGGTGACGATTTCTAAAGCGCACTAAGACGTTGCACGTTAATTGATCTGTGTGTATCCTGCTGGTGTGGACTAAAGGTTACCTAGTGCATGGTGCGCTTGAGAAATATCACCTCCGTTAAGCAAATTACCTGACCATGTAGATAAGCCCTTAGTTTGCAGCTGGATTCTTTGGTTTACTATGTTTCATCATCTCCACCATTTTTGTCTTTGCTTTTGGAATTCATCAGACTACTAGGTGTTCATAGGACCAGGTTAATTTTTACTGTAAATTCAGTGGGCTTGCTCAATCCACGTGAGTGTAGAGAGAGGTAAAGGTTGCCATAAATTGCCTGTCTGCCTTCCCAGATCCTGGGGCTTCCTAGGGGACACACCAATCTCTGGTGCAAATTAGAGCAGTCAAAGGACTGTTCTAATTTAGGCTAACTTGTAATGACCACTTAAGAGGCATTGTGATGGTGAGGCTAGACAGATCAGAGTTTCTCTGAGCTTCATTGTCATTGTGGTCTCTTCAAGGCTGGGTGAGTGTGACTGTAAGCACCCCTGTATTCACACTATTGTAATAATCCTTGTGTAAAATATGCCTTGTGTGGTATGATATGAAAACTGACTCACCGATCATTCAAATTTTTGCGTGATGTGCATATGCAGTGGGCATTAAGAGTTATGAATATATGCTGGAATTACAGCCAAAGTGCAGATAAACCAGATATGTCAGGGGGAGTTGGTAAACTGATCTGCCCTAAACAAAGGAATGTGTTTTCCCCACTGGGAATTACTTTCTATGTACTTTTAAGGACAATGAGAATGTATTTACATATCACATAAACAGACCCAACAAGCTAACAAGGGGTGGAGGCAAACCTCGTGCTAACAAGTGGGTGAGGAGACAGCAGGGTGTCTACACCCAGCGGGAGAGAGAAGCTTGGTCTGGGTTTTACTTTTTGGAAGAATCCATTTAAAAGGTTTACTGGTTTATAAAGACAGTCGGCTGAACCTCAGATGTTAAGCAGTTGAATCAACTGATCATATACAGTATTACTGTATTAATGAAGTGTATAGAGTGAGGTCTTTGCTGAAAGCTAACGACACACTAATTAATATCATTGTGAAATGTATGTATTAAAAGTATAGGAGGAAATATGGATACTTAATGATATTATGTTTTAAAGTCTGTGGAGAAACAGGTTCCCTCTCAGACAGGAGGGCAGGCAGCTATCTACCTGTCTCCTGAGATTAAGCCAGGTGTGACCAAAAACCAATAGAAGCTGCATTTACGCAGAAATCAGTCAAGGGGTGGGAAGGCCACAGGAAGGGAAAAAATAGCATGAGGTCATTCTGCCTCTTGGAACAGTCATTGGACTTTGGAAGATAAACAAAGACAGAAGCCATCTTTTGCATCTATAACTAGACAAACACACACAACAGAGCTCATGCAAGCTGAGAAAGATGGGTTCTTCAACCAAAGGGTAGTTGAACTGTCTGGAAACTGAATATAGGTGAGAAACTTGCATAGGTAAAGGTTGTACCTTGATAGATTAAGTTTGACACTTTTAGATCTGTTTTCATTTTTATTTGTTTGTAACCCTTTCTAACTTAATCATAGAAGTGTGGGACTGGCAGGGTCCTCGATAGATCATCTAGTCCAGTCCCCTGCACTCGAGGCAGGACTAAGTAATAACTAGACCATTCCTGACAGGTGTTTGTCTAACCTGCTCTTCAAAACCTCCAGTAATGGAGATTCCACAACTATAGGTAATTTGTTCCAGTAACTACCCTGACAGTTAAGTTTTTTCCTAATATCCAACCTATACCTTCCTTGCTGCAATTTAAGCCCCTTGCTTTTTGTCCTATCCTCAGAGGTTAACGAGAACAATTTTTCACTCTCCTCCTTTTGTACCTGAACTCCCTTAAAATCCTGTCATCGTTTATAAATAAACTTGTTTTACCATCAATCTAAATTACCAGTGCTGTGTTTGAATTAAAGTGAATCTTAACTCCAGTTAATGTGGCAAGCTGGTAGGTTTTGTGTCTTTAGAGGAACAAACGAACCTTATTATTTCTCTGAGCTGTCCAGGAGCGGGCTGGACATTACAGAGCACACTGTTTGGGGAAAATTTGGGACTGGGAGCAGGGCCGGCTCTAGGATTTTTGCCGCCCAAAACAAAAAAAATTTTGGCGGCCACCCCCCCCTTTTATTCATGCCCCCCCGCCCCTTCCCCAAATCCCCCGCCCCGCCTCCTCCCCCGGGCGTACTGCATTTCCCCCCTCCCCTCATTGCTTCCTGCGGGGCCCCCCACGACCTCCCGCCCTAGCTCACCTCCACTCCACCTGGTCCCCTGGGCACGCCGCCGCTCCGCTTCTCCCCCCCTCCCTCTCAGGTGAGGGAGGGGGGAGAAGCGGAGCAGTGGCATGTTCAGGGGAGCTGGCAGAGCGGAGGAGAGCTAGGGTGGGGGGCACAGGAAGTAACGGGAGGGTAGAGGAACTGCTCCCCACTCCAGCTCACCTCCACTCCACCGTCGCCGCCTCCCCTGAGTGCCCCCCCGCTCGGCTTCTCCTCCCAGCCTTGCTGCACGAAACAGTTGTTTTGCGCCCAGCAAGCCTGGGAGGGAGGGGGGAGAAGCGGAGCGGCGGTGGCGCACTCAGGGGAGCAGGCGGAGGCAGAGCGGAGGCGAGCTGGGGCAGTGAGCTGGGGCGGCAGGGACACTTTTTCCCCATGCCTCGGAGTCAGCACCTATGATGGCCGGCGCCAGAATGCCGCCCCTAGAAATATGCCGCCCCAAGCACCTGCTTGTTTTGCTGGTGCCTGGAGCCAGCCCTGACTGGGAGTGTGCTGGCTGTAACTAAAGCTGGTGGAAGCCAGTGTGTGATGGTGTGTTGCTTCAGGCTGCTGGGGTCAGAGTCTGCTAGACCAGGGCTGAAGCTATACACAGACACTCAGGGTATGACCCTCCTGCTTGTAGGCTGGCTGTGAGTGGCCCAGGTTGAGAGCTACAGCAACAGAGTATTGTGAGGCACCCAGGGTTACAGGGCAGGTAGTGACACAACCTCTCAGTGGTCTGGATTGCACCCCTGAACCGAAACCCATTACAGAAAAATATTAGGTGCAACTGGTGTGCCTCTGACTAGCAATCCCTTTTGTGCAGCCTTTTGAGCAGCACAAAATAGCTGGCAGCAGGGCCAAGAATGAGGCCCCTCACTGAGCTACATTTGGACCCATATAGATGTGACAAGGAAGCCCCTTATTGATGGTGGATCAGCGTCTGCCTGGTTGGTGGAAGAAGGGCAGAGAGGCTCAAAAGCAGCTTGGAGTTTGGGGCCTGTAGCTCCACTTGGAGTGGGGAGCAGAGGATGCTCAGATGCTATCTGCAAATCCTGGGCACTCTTTCTCTTTGTTGACATGTCATGGATGGAGAGAGGCAGGGGGAATGGGGATCATAAACATTGAACCATGTATTGGGCACCTGGGTGTGGTGAGAGTCTCTGGAGAAAGTGACAGGTGAGTTGTCTTGCTGCCCCCCAGGTCTTGTGCTATAAAGTCTAGTCAGTCTCCACAGCTGACTGGAGAGGAACCTGTTCCCTTGCAGTCATGGAGGTTCTGTGCGTGTTCAGTGCTTCCTCAACACTATTTTACACAACTGTACTGAGGAGGGAGGAGTCATGGCCCAGAAAAGAACTAAGAAGTGGGGTTTGGTTTTGTATGTTTACAGTCAAATTTTCCTTTGCACTTTTGAAAATCAGGGGAAATGTATCTGTTTGGGCACCCAAAAATGGAGGTGCACAAAATTAATGGAATGCTTCTGAAAATGTTAGCTTTCATCTTTATTCAAGCATAAAGTGGGATACCGTTTGTAGCAATAAAGTGTGTGTGTGTGTGTAGTTGTGTGGCTTGCCCAGTTCTACCCTCTTTATTATCATGCTGGTAAGTTGCTTGGTATATTTTGCCTTTAAGAAGGGCACATGCACACAAGCATGCTGCAGAAATACACGTTATATGGTCCAAGAAATGTTGTGTTATGTGGATGTTTCATGTGAGACTACCCATGTCAGTAAATTTATTCAAGTGCCTAAACTTTTGTAGGCTCAAGCTTTGACAGGTAGCTGGGGTACGTGGTGTGGTTCAGTGATTATCTGCAATACATACACATTCAATATTATCTATTTTTTGCAGACTTTTCAGTTTCATAGCGGTATTAGGATTTCAGCTGGTCATCCCACAAACGTCAGTTGAACACAGAAAGGTAAGCTACAGAAATTTGGGTTTTGTATCATTAGAAGTAACACGTATGGTGTGTTAGTGTAAGAAACATAAAGTAACTTGGTGCAAATACCTCTGCTGTTAGGCATTATATGCAGGATCTTATTATTTAAAAAAGATGGGAGGCTGTCTGGCCCTGTGCCCTTGTGTTGGTTAGCATACTCTGTTGCCAGATGCAGGTTGGATTCCCAGTTCCCTGCTAGGAGAGAGACTGACTAGTGCCTTCCATACTGGACGATTGTGGACTGGTGTTGGATGGGCTCTGTTATTCACTCTCTGCAAACTCAAAGAATTGGCCTTCAAGGCAGGATCTTAAAGTGCAGAGAGGAGGGGAATGTCCCTGCTAAAATGACATCGTAAGGGAGGAAGTTTCCCCAACCAGCTAGCCTTCTTCCCTAGAGGCATTTTCTTCCTTGCGATATCACTAAGGATAATAATTTGACAGAGTTCACTTACTGAGCGTTTCACCATTGGGAGCAATTTGTGGTGCAGTTTCTTACCAGTTTTCTGGGATGCTTCTGGTTTTACATGTTGTCCCTTACGTGCAACAGATCATAGGGTTGCCAACCCTCCAGATTTAAACTAGATACTGTATATGGTGGTTTCTCTGTAACCTGAAGTCTTTAAATCATGATTTGAGGATTTCAGTACCTCAGCCAGAGGTTAGGAGTCAATTTCAGGAGTGGGTGAGTGAGGTTCTGTGGCTTGCAATGTGCAGGATGTCAGACTAGATGACCATGATGGTCCCTTCTGGCCTTAAAGTCTGAGTTAAACTTCCCCAAGCCCCTCTGACCCCACCTATCAACTGCCAGACAACAAGAATGTTAGCTGCTCAGGCTGAGAGAGACATCTTTCTAATTAAATGTATACTCTCAGCTTTGTCACTGGGGGAGTTGTTCCTGCTTTTATGTTGAGATTCTGGTGTTTGTTTGCTGAGCGAGTAACTTTGTACCCCTGCTAGCAGCTTCTGTGTTGAGCTCCTTTTGCTTCTGTGGACAGAAATTGCAGAACAGCAGATATGTTCGGGGAGAGGTTTTCTGCAGTGGAGCAGTAGCGGTTTCTAAAATTCTAGTGAATGATACAACTTAACATTGTTTGGCAACTTTCTTATGTACTCTTACAAGGGTTTATGGAATTAAAAATTAGAGTACACATTAAATGGGTGGATCTGAGCCAGTCTCCGGGAATAAAGAGACTGTTTAGTCACTGGTCCTTATGCATGTGCCTTTGGCATATTCATAAATCTTTGGTGCTTTAGCTTGTGGTGCTAGAAATAGTATGATTGCCAGGGGTGGAAGTAACTTAAAAGCCTTATTGGTACGGGGACCCAGCTCTGGGCCCTCAGGCAGAAGGGGTGGGGCCTCGGGCAGAAGGGGTGCGGCTGGGGGTCAGCCTCCCCCAGCCAGCCCTTCCACATTGCTGGGGCTCTGGAGGCGATTTAAAGGGCCTGGGCCTCTGGCCGCTGCTGCAGTAGTAGGGTTACCATATTTTGAGTGTCCAAAAAGAGGACACTCCACGGGGCCCCGGCCCCGCCCCCAGCCCCGCCCCCTCCCCTGCCCCAACTCCGCCCCCTCCCCCAAAGTCCCCGCCCCAACTCTGCCCCCTCCCCTGCTTCCCGCGAACATTTGATTCGCGGGAAGCCTGAAGCAGGAAGCAGGCAGCAGGTAAGCCGGGGGGGGGAAGGAGGCGCGGCCCAGTCTGGCCCCCTTCGGCGGCCGGCCCCGGCGTCTCCAGCCTGGCTCGGCTCGGGCCCTGGGGTGCCGGCCCCGGGCCAGCCCCCGGCCGAGCACCCCCGGGCCAGCCCCCGGCCCAGCACCCCC